GCAACAGCCCTGGTGTGGGGGCTCACGGCCGAGGACGGCATCCCCGTGCCAAGCAGCCCTGGCTCGTGTTTACCTCCGTGAGGCCCTCACACGGCCAAGATGGGAGTCCAAAGACGCCAAAGTCGGCTCTAGCTACCCCCACAGAAACACAAACGCAGGCTCTGTAAGGCAGGGAACACAAAGGAACTAGGAAATGAAGAGCTTTTTAAAAACCCTCCTTGACAATACTGCTGTCAGTGTATAGGTTCATCAGTTGTAACCAACGCGCCACTGAGATGGAGGAGTTGACAGCAGGGGCGCTATGGATGTGTGTGACGGCTGGGGGTACATGAGAAATCACAGTATCTTCTCTTCATTTTTGCTGTGAACTGAAAACTGCCCCAAAATACAAAGTCTATCTTTTAAAAAATCTTCTTTGATTACCCAAAAGGACCCGTCCTGTGGGGTTCCTGTATCGTCTGCAATGTGACTGAATCAGTACCTACATATACGGGTGGTGGGTGGAAAAACGCCCCAAGCAACCAACATCATTCCATTCTTTTTTTTTTTTAATATTTTATTTATTTTTTAGAGAGAGAGACAGCATGAGCAGGGGAGGGTCAGAGAGAGAGGGAGACACAGAATCTGAAGCAGGCCCCAGGCTCTGAACTAGCTTCAGCACAGAGCGCGATGCGGGGCTCGAACCCACGAACCGTGAGATCATGACCTGAGCTGAAGTCAGACGCTTGACCGACTGAGCCACCCAGGTGCCCCAACCTCATTCCATTCTGGAGCTACAAATGGGATCCTGGATTACCGTCTGCCACCTTGTACATCTTGTTTGAACACAAGGGGGTGCAAGAAAGGGAATCTGGCTGGATTTGGACCCTTCCTTCCCATCACTAGAGCCCAAGATGTGTACGAAGGAGAAGAAAAAGCAGGATACTTGAAATACTCAAAGCTGGGCGCTGGTCATGATTTTATTCCTGATTATAAGTATAATGTTGAGTAAAATATGATTTCAGCAAGCTTCAGTCTCCTCAGCTATAGGACAAAGCCACAGCCCTCTTCCTCCAGGGAATGCCGTGAGAAGCAATGACAACAGCTCAGCGGAAATGACAGTAACGGTCCTTGGCACTCTCCATATATTAGATCATTTAATCCCCAGAACAACTCCATGAAGCAGGCACTATCGTTATGCATAAGGTAACAGAGCTAAGTAACTTGACAAGTGATCACACAGCAGAGACACAGCCAAGCCAGTATTGGAATTCATGCAGTTTGATTCTGGAACCCACACTATTTTACATGATTTATACCAGAATAGAAACTAGCACAATGCCTGGCACATTGTAGGTAATCACTACACAGTTAGCCCCTTCCTTTGGTCTCTCGTAAACATACAGGACTATGATGATAAATTGACAGAAAAACGTATGTCCAACTTCTCTGAAAACCGTAAAATCCAATGAAAATACAGGGTACTAAGAAACAAAACAGTGTTATTAAGATATTATTCATATACCATAGAATTAACCCACTTACAGTATACAATTCAATGGTTTTCTTATGTCCACAGAGTTGTGACTATCTCTACAATCAATTTTAGAACATTTTCATCACCCTCAAAAGAAACCCTACACCTCTCAACCATAATGGCCCCTTTACTCTCTCCACTTTCCTCCTCAGCCCCTGCCTATCACGAAGGACCACATATTTTTATGACTCTATTTACATGAAATCTCCAGAATGGAAAGACCCACAGAGATAGGACATAGATTAGTCATAATTAGAGTCATAAAAATATGTGGTCCTTTGTGATCAGCTTCTTTCACTGAGCATGTTTTCAAGGTCCATCCACATTGCAGCATGTATCAGTACTTCATTCCCTTTTATGGCCACACACTATTTGGTTGTGCGCAGCATCGCTATTAAAGGCATTTACTTGCTTTCAGAGACTGTTAAGAGCTGGGAAAACCTTTAGAGACTGAATACAAACCCTACCGGGGATACTGATAAAGAGACTGTGGCCTTGAGATGAAGGAGCCTTGCCAAGGTCACCCAGCTGGCTGCTGGGAGAGCCTGTAAAGCTCTCAGCTTGGTCCCTCTTACTTCACTCCACAAAGCATGTTTGGAAACATAATTCAAAGTGCACGGCTTATTGATGATGGACCAGTGGAATCATTCTGCAAATACCGGCCTAACATCATTCCTTTGGCACATATATATTGACTGAACCGCTGGGCAAGGCGCTGAGTGAGGTGCGGCAGACCTGTGAGGAACAGGCCAGAGAAAATCCCTGCCCTTTTCCCCAGGGATACACTCTCCTGGGAGGCAGAAATAAACCAGTAAGCAGCAGGGACACCTGGGTGGCTCAGTCGGTTGAGCGTCCAACTTGGGCTCGCTGTTCGTGGGTTTGAGCCCCGCGTCGGGCTCTGTGCTGACATCCAGCTCAGAGCCTGGAGCCTGTTTTGGATTCTGTGTCTCCTTCTCTCTCTGACCCTCCCCTGCTCGTGCGGTCTCTCTCTCTTTCTCAGAAATAAATAAAACATTAAAAAAAAAAAAACAGTAAGCAGTTAAGTGGCAAAAATATCTGTATGCTTTATACAGTGCCGTGAAGGAAACAAACCAAGGACTGAGTCAGGTGATCATGTGAAGACTGAGGTGGCATTGGCAGGGGCAGCAAGTGGAGGGTCTCTGTACAGACAGTCACAGGGGATTTGGGTGGGGAAGGCCTCTCTGAGTTGGGAGCTTCAGGCTGGGCCTGGAAGAAGAGAAGGACCAACTGCCAATACTGGGAGGAAGACACTGCCGGATGAAGGGTAGAATGCATGCAAGAACCCTGAGGTGGGAACTAGCCTGATGTGTTAGGAGAGCTAAGTGAGCGGGGCGAGGTGAGTGAGCGGGGGGTGTGGTGTGAGGCTAGAGGGGAGGCCCCGGTCTGGATGGTGGCCTTTTGGCCCATTCTCCCATGACTACCCTCTCAGAGTAAGTCAGGAGGACCCGTGGGAAAGATCAGTGGCTTCCGGTTTCCTTCCAGTGAATTAGATAACTCCACTGTCCACGGGAAGCTACAGGAGACCCGAGTGCCTGTAGCAAACACCTCCAAAGAGAACCGCACCTTGGGTAAGGGTGATGTAACTGTGTATCACCCTTGGGATGAATCAGAAGATAGAGAAAACAGAGGGAAATGAGAAAATACAGACAGATTACTAAGGAAGTGGTTAAATGGTTATGGTATAGCCACATGGCAGAACACAATTCAAATGGCAAAAAGAACGAGGTTAACGCTTTCAGTACTGAACTGGAAAGATCTCTGGTTAGTTTCTAAGCAAACAAACACGTAAAACAAAACAAGGTATACAGTTGTATGTGTACCATATCGTTCATTTGGAGAAAAAGGGGGAGGCAGGATAATATGTATTTGCTCATATACACATAAGTTCTCTCTAGAAGGATACACATAAAATATATCTAGGAGGGGTTTACTTGTTTGTCTCTGGCTCCCCCACCCCTTGAGAATAACTGTATCCCTGGAGGAAGGACAAGAGTCTCATCTGTCCTGTTTGTCACTGTATCCCCGTCAGCTGCAAGTGAGGGCTGGGGGGTACAGGCAATGGGAGAATCCTCAAAATCTCCTCTTACACGGTTTTCAAGTCTGACACAAGCGAATGTATTTCTTATTCAAAGAAATTAAATAAAACATGAAAACAAAGAAAAGGCAATGAGGAGTCTCCATCTGCCAAGCAAACGTCAATGTTCCTTTCAGCCCACCCTGCCCCTTGGCCCCTGAATAAGCTGACCTTGAGGGTGGTCAGCTTGTCCTTTTAGAGAACTGGATGCTCGCTGGTCCTTAGGGAGGTTTCACTCCTAACAATGGTTATGACAGTCTAGTGACCAAAGAAATTTTTCCAGAGAGTCCAAAATTAACTTTGATTCTCAGATGCAAGCCATCAAAGGATCTCTCCCTCCAGAACTACCATGGGAAGAATGAACAAATGAATAATTATTGAATGGGTATCACCCTCCAGTTAGTTGTCCAGCAGTGGGTAAATCTCCTCTGGGGTAGCAATCAGTGTAAACGGGGAGTCTAGCTCTGAGGAATTCATGCCCTTGCCCTGAACTCCATAGTTTCTCAACCTCAGCACTACTGACCTTCTGGGCTGAATAATTTCTTATTGTGGGGGCTGCCTTGTGCATTGTAGAGCATGTCATAATATCCTTGGCCTCTGTGTACCAGACACCAGTGCCATCACCCTCACTGCAGCCAGCACAACCCAAAATGTCCCTGGACACGGTCAACTGTCGCTTGATAAACAAAATCACCCCAGGGTGAGGACCACTGGTCCCATCCTTGCATTTCCAGGTGACTGCTTTGTCTTCCCAGTGAGAAGCTGGGGTCCCCCTCTGCCTCTATCCCAGCTGGACCACCACGGAGGCTGGGAGTTGACTGAATTTCACTGTGGGAGAGTTCCCTGAGTTTCAGATACACCAACCAACCCAACTTCCTGGGAACCCCCTCTGAATGGCAAGCTAGCGGTATCAGATTTTTTAAAATAATAACCTATCCACAAGAAGCTCCCATGCCCAACAGGCTGGGGCCATAAAAAGGCACCCCCAAAGCAGGCTGATAATCGAAGTAGTACACACTCAGGCTAGCCAGCTGCCCACGCTACAGCACCTAGGAAAGCGAATGTCGCCTCCCCCTATGGTTATTTCCTGCCAGGGGACAGAGACAGAGGAAGTGCATGAGGGGTCATTGTGTAACAAACATGGGGGTGCTGGGCACGCCCGCCGTCATCTCTCCTTCTCTCCAGAACATAATTCCCAAAGGACAGCTTTCTTTGGAGGGCAAAGAAAAAGGAACTGTATTTCGATGTTTTGATTAATTTGAGGCTCATCCCTGAGGGCACTGCAAAATGAATGAGCAGAATTTTCCATGGCTAACTGTCCTGGCCGCCAGGCCCTATCGGCAAAGGTTTAGTGTTTATTTACTTTTGCTCGTGTTATTTTTATTTCAGTTCAGCTGCAGCTCAGTGCGGAAAGCGTGGGGGAGGTGTATATAAAGAGTACCGAGACTGGCCAGTACTTGGCCATGGACACCGACGGGCTTTTGTACGGCTCAGTAAGTATGAGGCTGACATGCTTCCAGACACGACCAGGGTTGGAGGTTTCCAGAAATCGTGTTACGTTGAGTGATGCAAAGTATAAAGCAGCAATTAGTCTCTGTTTGTTATTTTTTCCAGCAGGATTCCCACCCTCTACCCTGCCTTATTTTAGGCTCAGACATGAAAGAGCTCCTTGATTCTCTCAAAAGACTCGAACGAATTATCACAGAGACACAGAAGAGACATTGATTGAAATTTTAGTAACGCATCGGTCAGTCATTTCGGAATACCTACTCCCATTTCATTCATTCATTCCAAACACGTTTCTTGAGCATCAGCACACACTCGAAGTGTGTTCTCTGTGTTTTTCACAAAATTACAGAGCCCAGACTCTAGCATGAGATACACCATCCAACAAACATTTACCAAGTGCCTCCTGTGTCTAAGTACAGAGGGCTGTGAAGACAAATGAGCCATATCCCTGTCCTTGACAAGCACAGTCTGAAAGTTTATTCAAGAGCTAAAAGTCCTCAACATCTTCTGCTCCATCTGTCTCCTGGTTAATGTTTTATACAGCTTTGACTCAGCATATACTGATCTTTGTAAGAAAGGAATAGAAACAGACAATCTAATTCTGCCCCTTTTGGTATCTCTGGTAAGAGATTTCAATGGAAACAGAACTAAAGCCAATGGACCCAAGTTTTGAAATTATTTCTCAATTTCAATGAGCCTCTCTCTTTATCCTAACAACCGATCACTGAGGCTTGGCCAAGCCCTTCTTTTTCACTCTTGTAGACATCTACAAAAAAGGCAGCTAGGATGGGCTGGTCTGAGGCTCCCTTTAACTTACATCAAATTGCCAACTGGCAACGGGCACAGAAAACTGTCTCCTGAAGTTGTGACTTCAGCCAAGGGTTGGGTTTGGTTTCTCATGATGCCTGCTACAAGTCAGGAGATAAGATGGTCAGAGCAATGGACAGCCTCCTGTAGGCTGTTTGCTGAAATCTGTATCAAATGGGACAACATTAAAGGGTTTGGAGGTAGGCTTTGACTGCTACGTAGGAGGCACATTTTTCTTTTCTCTTTGCTTTTCTTCCTTCCTTTCAAGAAAGACAGAGACAAAAAGTGGGGTAGAGGGTCAGAAAAGGGGGCGGTGAGGAGAGAGAGAGAGGAAAAGAGAGAGAAAATCTCAAGCAGGCTCTATACTCAGGGCAGAGCCCAATGTGGAACTCAGTCCCATGGCTCAATCCCACAACCCCAGGATCATGACCCAAGTCAAAAGCAAGAGTCAGATGTTCAACAAACTGAGCCACCCAGGAGCCCCTGGAAGTAGATTTTTCTGAAAGGTGGTTCTGCTGCGTGGTCATAAAATCAATCAACCGGCCAATCACTGAATCTCGGACTCAAAACTGAATCTCAATTCACTGCAACTTCAGCACGTTTCTTGCCTACCCTGAGCCTTGTCTAAAATGAGGACAGCAATGGATGGTCACTCCCACATACAGGGGCTAAGAGGGGTCAGAGAGACAACGCACGGAACCCATCCGCCTATGTTGCTGATAAAGGCACGTGCTCCATCAGTGGGAGCATAAGACAAATAATAAGTTTATAAATTTCTTTTCCTCATTATTTCCTAGGTTATATTTACAGTTTACGGTTTTTCCTCTTTTAAGTCAGTTTTGATACTTTTTATAAGCTTCTTTTATTTGTATAAAAATACTGAGGAAGAACCCCAAATCCAATTTCCTCTAGGCTCCCACCATAGTCCTGGCCATCACTGTACTTCACCTGAAATACTCAGAGGGTAACCTTAATATATGATGCCTAATAATTGATACACTTTTCCATTAATAAATGAGAATTTCTAAAATATCTCAGAGATCTACCTCATCCTCTTACGCAGTTCTAGGTATTAATCTATCCTGATACAAATTTTTATGTCTAAAGAAAGGACATATCATTTTTAAAAATAATGAAATATTTTATATTATTAATGAAAGCCTATATAAAAGAATGAAATATGTTATATTTAATAATGAAAGGACATATATACATATATATATCAAAACATTAGTGAAAGGTTATATATCAAAATACTAATGCATTTATCTCTATGGGGTGTAAGTGGCTGATTTTATAAAATGTCAGTGCCTTCCTGTATTTTCCAAACTTCCTGCAGTGGATATATGTCACCCAAATAGTTGAGGGGGAAAAAAGCATGCTAAAGTATAAAAAAAGAAAATGATTTTTAAAATAGTCATGAATCAACTGCTCCTCTCCAAGCTGTGGGCACTGCAGCAAGCGCATAACAAGCCCTGACAAAGGCTGGTGGAGGGAGGGATGGAGCACCTCTGATTTGGCTTGTGACTCAGCCTGTGACTCGGCCATTCTGAGTGTGTCAACCGCTCTAGTTCAATGGCAACATCAGGTGAGGGACGTGGCCGCCCTCAGCTTCGTCAGAGAACACAGGCCTGACACCCACTCAGGGGTGTCATGGGGTACCTTTCCTACAGGGGAGGGGGCAGCCCACACAGGTCCCAAACTTCCTACGTCCTCCCACACCCGGCCGTGTGCATCAAACACCAATGTCTGAATAAGTTCCTCCAGACGCAGCAGAGTCACCCACTTAAATATTACAGCTGGGCCCCGTATTATTCTAAAATGACCCAAAGTGTCTCACCCAGCTGTCAATGCCCTAGACTACAAATGAATAAGCAGGAAACTTCCTGTTACATCGTTCCTTACTAGTCAACGGGAACTTTACTGACTGCTTTCCATGATCTCAAGAATCAAGTTAAACTCACCACCTAGCTGGCAAGCTCCTATCATTTGCAAGGTTCTGTGTCTGGTGGGGGCGGGGGAGACCGTAAGGCTGACTAGACTCCACCTCTCCCTAAGTGGGGCTCAGAGTCAAGTACACAAACATGCCCACAAATAAAGAATAATGAAGAACAAGCCTAGAAACCACCAGAAAGAGAATCACCAACCACTGTGGATGAAGAGATAATACAGAGATCACATGACTTGGAATGGGAGCAAAGTCAATACACAGCATAAGTATTTTATATCCAAATATAACAAAGATATTCTAAAATCTTGATGAATAGGAAGTTCAAATTCCTGGGGTTCTTCCCACTCTCCAACAGATGAACTCCAAGTGAAACAGTAACTGTTGGTAGATATTTTTAAACCAACTGTAATATTTAATATGTTCTAGCAATCTTTCCAGCTTAATAAATTTGCAGCTGTCCTCAATTCCACTGTAGAGATGAACCACTATCTACCCGAACCAATCGCCTTTCCATGAAGATTTAGATTGCTTCGAATTCGTTACCATTATGTGCAGTACTGTAAAGACCATCATTGAAAATACCGTTTTACACTTGCCCAACTATCTCCTAAGGGTCAGTTCGTACACGTGAAATTGCTGGGTCAAAGGTAATACATACCGCCTAACTACCCTCACAAAATTTCCACCAATGTATCTCACCAACAGTGCAGGAAAATGTCTATCTCCTATGTTCTCACCAATACTAAGCATCGTAAACCCTTCTGTTCTTTGCAGATATTATAGCCAACATGTTAAATCATTTTTAACTTGCATTTTCTTGTGAGACTGAATGTTTTCATAGCTTTATTTTCGATTTTTTAAAAAAGAAATTAGAGCAGGGGTGCCTGGGTGGCTCAGTTGGTTAAGCATCTGACTCTTGGTTTCGGCTCAGGTCAGGATCTCACCGTTTGTGAGTCTGAGCCCTGAGCTGGTCTCCGCACTGACAGTGCAAAGCCTGTTGGGGATTCTCTCTCTCTCTCCCTCTGTCTGCCCCTCCTCTGCTTGTGTTCTCTCTCTCTCAAAATAAATAAATAAACTTAAAGAAAGCAGATAAAGGGGTGCCTAGGTGGCTCAGTCAGTCGGTTGAGCATCAGACTTTGGCTCAGGTCATGATCCCACCGTTTGTGAGTTTGAACCCCGCACTGGGCTCTGTGCTGGCAGCTCAGAGCCTGGAGCCTGCTTCAGATTCTGTGTCTCCCTCTCTCTCTGCCCCTCCCCTGGCTTGTGCTCTGTCTCTTTCTGTCTCTCTCTTTCTCTCTCTCAAAATAAACAAACATTAGAAAAAGCAGAAATACCAGGCCATTTTGATAATATCATCAGTCTGTATCCATTTGGCCTTATCTATGTCTGTCTGTAAATTCATATGTAAAGACATGAGGAAGTATGTTCATCAACTGTTACCGGCTCCCTATATCTGGGTGGGTGGCTTTGGGGTGGTTTTTAATCTTTTTTCTTTTTTTTAAACTAAAGTTGTAATTTTTAAAAAGTACAGTTCTTCGTATAAGTAGATCTTTTTATACATAGGAAAAAATAAAGCTATTTTCATTTTTTAGAAACTTCAAGTTCCAGGATATGTTTTATGATTAGGACACATTGTGTGTAAGCGTGTATATTCATGACAACCCTAAGGTAAAAATCCTGGTATTGTTAGTGAAAATCATCAGGACATAAAATAATATTAGTAGGCTTTCATTTATTCTTCAAGCCTAAACTTCAAACTCCTCACCACATCATAGTCTGGTTTGACCTATTTGGGCTATTTTTCATGGTCATGTCCATGTGCCAGGACTTTACAAAGACAAAAGTACCAGCCTTGCCCTTAACATGCTCATGGTCATTCAGGGTCTACCCTGTGGGAAACTTTAGGGTCCTGAGGACAGCAAATGTTAGGGGAGCTTAAAAAAACAGCAAATGTATTTTAACACTAAGCTAGCTCCTCTTATTTTTTTTAAGTTTATTTATTTTGAGAAATAGAGAAAGTACAAGTCAGGGAGGGGCAGAGAGAGACGGGGGGATGGGGAGGAGAGAGAGAGAGAGAGAGAGAGAGAGAGAATCCCATGCAGACTCCACACTGTCAGTGCAGAGCCCAACATGGGGTTCGAACCCAGGAACTGTGAGATCATGATCTGAGCCAAAGTCAGACACTTAACTGACTGAGCCACCCAGGTGCCCCGACGGCATATGTATTTTAAAGGCTCATTATGCACTGGGTCCTATTCTAAGTCCTCATTACTACCCTCAGATATAGGTTCCACTTGTATCTCAATTTTCCTAAAGAAGAAACTGAAGCATAGCTTCAGTAAACTCGCCCAGGACCACAAGGCTAGTAAACAGAGGAACCTCATTGAAAAACCAATCACTAATAATTCTACTCTCTTGCCGTTGTATCTTTTTAGCAGACACCAAGTGAGGAATGTCTGTTCCTGGAAAGGCTGGAAGAAAACCATTACAACACCTACACATCCAAGAAGCACGCAGAAAAGAATTGGTTTGTGGGTCTCAAGAAGAACGGAAGCTGCAAACGCGGTCCCCGGACTCACTATGGCCAGAAGGCAATTTTGTTTCTCCCCCTGCCAGTCTCCTCTGATTAAAGAAATCTCTTCTGGGTGCCGACCACTCCAGAGGAGGCTGAGGGGGTCCTCACCCAGCTGACCCCAGGTTGTTCCCCTGACTTTTGGCTGCGCTAACCCCTGGCCCACAGAGCCTGAATTTGTAAGCAGTGCGCTTCTAAATGCCCAGTTCACTTTTTTGCAGAGCATTTTACCCCAGCACGGTTTCGAACAGAGGGATCAGATAGCTCCTAGGGGCCATCTGGCTGGCCGGTCTGGGTGTGTGGATGCCCGGTTGCCTGTGGGCACCTGCTGTAGGCTGAGCCTCTCAATGCAAAGGTGGGGCCAAATGAAGTGTGTTCAGGGAGCTGCCACGGGGTCATGAGTAACTGCATACAATTCCCTCTACTGAGTAAATCCTGTCTGTGATTCCCCGAAACACCTGGCTTGATGCCCCTGTGTCCTTTCAACACCCCACAAATATTAGCAGAGAAGCTTATGGCCGGGTTAGGGGAAGGCAGTGTTCCATGAGTAGAAACTAGGATGAAGAAAATTCCCCCTGGTGAACAAAGGGATTAAATAATGGCAAGGGGAGATTGGGTTCTGGTGGACAGTTTAAAAGGCTGGGCTCTCAGGGCGGAATCAGTGAAGGATGGGAGGCTCAGCCCACAGCAAAGCAGAATAAATGCATAGCGCACAGAGTCATTCCAATGCCATGACTTTCCCAAGATAATTTGGCAGGAGGAAGCTCCTGGATGATGTCAGATGGACAACATGAGAGGTGGGTCTTCTTGATAAAAAGCAAAAACATCAGATGCTGGCAAATTCATTTGGGTCTGGGGTGTGGGAGTGCTGAGAAACAAAGGAAATGTGGGCTAAGGGGACATCTTCTTCCAAAGAGATTGATTTTAGAAGTGAGAAGGAAAGACAGAGGGATGCCATGACTTGTGCCTGTTCCCCAGAAAGCAGAGGCTTTGGGGGTCCCAGGCAATGCTTACAAATCACATGCAGATGGTGTTTGAGTGTGGGTTCTGGTTCAGTGGGTCTGGGGTGCAGTCTGCATTTCTAACGAGCCCCCAGGTGCTGCGGATGCTGCTGCTTTCCCTAGCCGCCCCCCACACTTTAAGTAGCAGAGTTCTGAAGCAAGCTGTCCAAAGGAAGGGGGGCCCAGGCCCCCGAGCCTCTCTCACCTTGCCCTTAAAAATCACATACCCACAAGCCTTCCTGAACACTCAGGCGGCATCAGCAGCAGTTATGCCTGCGTTAAGGAACATGGGTTTGAGGCGCTTTGGCCCAGTGCCTATAAAATACCCATTTAGAAGGTATACGAAAGCATACTTCAAAAATGTTAAACCCTCACAAACAGCTTTTCTCAAGAGACCATTTGTGTTACGATTACTTGTATAAATATGCTTCCTGCTTAAAGTAAACTTGACCCAAGTGGCTAGCAAATTAGAAACACCATTCATCTCTGACATATGATACTGTTGCCATGTAAAGGTCTTTAATAAGCCATTTAAATTTACTGTGAGATGGTATGTTTTAATCACATTTATAAATATATAGCTCAAAGGCAGTTAACTGATTAGCATTCAGCCACTGAGAATGATAATCATAGGATATGATGCAGAAGCTCTTCAATTATCTACTACATATACTGCATTTACCTATAAAAAGAGATTGAACTTCGTTTTCAATTGTGCTATTACAAGTTTTCCTTTGAATATGGGAACTTTTAAGCAACGATAGGGTAGCTGTGGATAAAAACTGATAAGAATATTAGCTCATGCTCGAAGGAACTGACATTATTAACAGAAAAGTAACTCTATATTAATTAGATTGTCATATTTATGATGAAAAAAAAGACAGTTTGTGAAAGTTCAAAGCAATATGGTGCAATTAAGGAACCAAACGAAGTTAGCACTATGGTTAATAGTATCATTCTGCATTTGTACAGAAAAACCATTTCAGAACTTTGTTTTTGTAACTTGGATAAGACAGTTCTATTTTATTTTAATAAATCCTTCCAGGCAAGTTGGGGATAGTGCAGGGTGGTTTAACATTTCTTTACTATGAAGATTTGGCCAGAAAAGCATACACAGAGAGGAAATCTAAGATACATCATGGTCCATAATATTTAGTGTATGAATCAAATTCGAACATAACACTGGCCAAGAAAAAATTAAATGTTGCTAACAGATGAGACAGAAGCCTGTGGTTTCAAAGACCCAAAGCAGTTAGAAGAAACACTATTGTGGCTTCCCAGTCTCCAGCTGGTTGCCATTCATATATTTGTTCACTGAATAGTTGTTCAGTGCCTACTGTGTGCCAGGCACTGTACTGTGTACTGGGGCACCCGAAAATATTGTCTGTCTGGTTTGCTGCTGTATTCTCTCCCAGGGCATTATATTTATGATGAAAGATGCTGTGGATTCATTTATTTCAGTCGAGTCAAAAACAGAGACTGTGTGGTTTCCTGCTAAATAAACAGCCAGTCCCAGAAACCCAGGTTTTGGAAGAATTAGCAATACCCAGTGTAAAATAAGCCCCCATGAAAGTATCAGAGGACATGGCTGGGTGAACCCACGACTTTCAACTGTAGAACCATGTCAGCTTCAGGAGGACCAGTTTCAAATTGGGGAAAGAGCCTGTCAGATTTTGTAAGGTGGCAGTCGCCTGCTCCATTCTAGCTCCTCACACACTCTCGTTCCTTACACATGGAGCGTTCCTGTTGCTCTCTCTTTTCCTTGAGCAAGTGAGGTATAGCCATCTGCTTGTCCTGTGTCTCTCGTGTGGATTCATTTTCAGGCCAACTGTTACGAACTGCCTGACATTCCGTACAGCATCAGGAGCATTTATGCTTTGGAAGTGTTTGCAATATGGAGACGGAGGTGGCAGTGATCTATTTCCTTGGAAGGGATGATCATCAGAGCCTCCCCTGGCCAACAGTGTGTACTAACCAAAAACTGACTGCAGCATCCTATGTTAGTTACTAAAGATGGTCCTTGCTTTGTGTCCGAGATTATGGAGCCCAGCTCCCCAGCCTTGTTAGAACATACTGCCTAAACCAACCGAGCCCATGGGCTGCGAAGCAGACCTCTGATGAAGAAGACAGCTGCCACATTACATCCCTGTCTCTTTATTTTGGGCACCTTACAAGTATTAATAAATGTTCCACTAAAAGACGATAATGTCTCTGAGTTTTGGAACACCACAATGTCTCATATTCCTGTGGAAGCTCTGTCCCCGGCATCCATCAGGTGTGGCTGTTTTGTGTTCCACACAGAGCTTGTCACTTAGATGGGAGACCTTAAAGGCTGACAGGAAAAGCTAAGGTAGCAACATTTTTCACTGTGTTTGGAAACCTAAGGCAGTACTGGTGTTTTTCTAGGGATACATCAGTGAAATACATTCAGGGAATTTACCTCCTAAAGAACCAAGCACCATAATTAAATGACACTCTTTCTTCATAGTACAAGCTATGAGAAATTATGCTACTATTGTACAGTTGACCAGTTTGTGCTAAAGCAAACATACTATGACCTGGGGCAAAAATTAAGGACTTACAACTTTAAGTCAAGGGCAAAAGGGTTATCTCTTGCATCTCAAGCATCTTGATGAAGGGTGATAGGTTTGCCCATCAGATCTTCTGAAATTGTTATCGTACTACGCAACATCTCCTTAAGTGAACTTGTCAAACTTAAGACTTCTTATTCTTAGAAGAAAGTATACTGTTGCCTAGACCTTGTGGCACCAGATCATACACACAAACACTGACACATATACACACACATTTATGCTGGCTCTCACATACGTACACTCACACAAGCATGTGCATGTATTAAAAAGTGTTGTGAGGTGTTTGTTCCTTCTACGAATTACATGACAAAATCAATCCCTCCTCTTCCTTTTAAAGTCACTTTTAAACCCCCTATTTTCTGCTTTTTGGAGTCTGATCTGCTGTAAGAACTATATTTTCCATCACAACCCACCACATGCCTACCCTTGGTCATACAACTGATACAAAGAAGGTCAAGAAGCTATATATATATATATATATATATATATATATATATATAGCTCATATATATGAGCAGCATTTGTTTCTATTGCTTTCCACTACAACATATTGGCCAAAGATGCATTAAACTGGGTCATAACTTAATAGGTCATGACCACAGTTTTCTGAAAGACACTGGCTTAAAGCAACTGGCCTCCTTCCCGAAGATGATGAGGCCCAATTAGAATCCTGTATTATTACTTCAGTGTTTTCAAAGATGCGGTTTGTTCAAAGACAAGGGGAACATCCTGCTACCCAGGAACCATCTGTTCAGAGGGACTGGTAAGTTCTTTTCGTTGGTTTGCTTCTAATCCTGCAAAATGAGTGTGAGGATGCCGGTGCCACATGCACACGCTGCTGCCTCCATTGCCCCCAAAGCTCTTCTGTCTGCACAGCCCAGAGGACTTTGGCCCCCTCCCCTCCTTTGGAATTCTGGTCACTGTTGGGGCTAGAGGTCATCCCCTCCCCAATTTCTGCAGTCTTCACTTCAAGCACTTCACTTGCTCCCTGACCCCCAAATTCCTATCATATAATCACTTCTTTACTTTTTTTTTTTTTTTTTAACATTTATTCATTTCTGAGAGACAGAGCATGAGTGGGGAGGGACAGAGAGGGAGACACAGAATCCAAAGCAGGCTCCAGGTTCTGAGCTATCAGCACAGAGCCCGACACGGGGCTCGAACAATGAGATCATGACCTGAGCTGAAGTTGGACGCTTAAGTGACTGAGCCATCCAGGCATCTCTACAGCCATTTCCAAACAAGTCAGGAAAAGTAGACTGAGCCAGGAGAATGCTAGATGCCCAAGGTCTCTGGGCATCCTCCCCAGCCTCCATCACTTTCTGGCAATTAGTTGCTCTCTCATCTACCTAAGAGTTTGCCATCCATAACTCAGTGATAAGATAAACACCATTGCTACTGGAATGTCTCTTCTACAGGGATCTGAAAGTTTTCATCTTTGTTGAACCAAATGAAAACAGTAACTCTGTGCCCTAAGTGTCTGAAAGGGTTAGGCTGGCTGAGAATTGGCCTCTTATGGGTGACCTTGACAGCAAAAGGGAAACATGTAAATGAAGTCACTGTCTTCCATATTTATCTGAATGCTGTCCTATCTGCCATGGGGTGTGGAGGGGAGAGGAATTCTAACCCTAAGCACTCTTGTGTCACTGTCATATTGAAGAGTATGGTAATAGTGGCACATCAAAAAACTGCACTTTCATAAATTAATAAAAATTATCTGTAGGAGCAGTAGTACAATATGGGAATACTTAAGCCCAACCTAGCAGTGGGACTTGTATCTTTTCCATTTCAAAATCACTAGGTATTTGTTGGACAACCATTAAAACTGAAACAATGGCTTGTGAAAAGTGGCACACCCCCTCCTTCCTACTCCACTCCTTAAACCCATCCTCTACCCCCGGAAAAAAACTCCCTTGTTATTGTACATAAAATTTACTCTAAAATCCAGACAGAGAATGTAAGAGCTTGAGATGTGGGTATCTGACAGAGGACACTCTGGAGCCTAGTGATTCATCAAACAGTCTCTCAAGTTACAGGGGAAATGTACTGAATGCCTACTGGGATCTTTCTGTAACATTGTACCCACTTTGCGGTTGATATATTGACCATGACAAACTACACTGTTAGCTTTCCACCCTAGTTATAAAATTAAAAAGAGAAACCAGGTCACACAAAGCCTGAAGCTGGTGGGTGGGTTTGCTTTATAAAATGCATGCTTTTTAGGACCTAGTTTGGTGGTCTTCTGACGGGTCTGAGCATGTCTGTGATGTGGGAAAGCGGTATTTCCTAAACTGCTTCCTTCCCTCTTAGCTACCCACTGTCACACAGGCTAAATTTACGCATTTAGCAGCTAAACACGAGTGTCTATTTTATCACATAACTAAGCCAAATTTCACCATGTCCTTGATGGGTTTTTCTATGAGCCTTAATGAAGGCTTGGGCATTCCTTGTTTGGAAGTGTGTTCAATTTCAGGATTTGGTTCACTTGGTCGCAGTGTTTGGGGATGTAGGTGTAGACAGGCAATTTGTGCAAGTCATGACAGAGATGCATATCATTGTGATTTTCATATTTCATATTTTCCTGCCTGAAGAGAAATTTTTTTAGTCTTACCCAGGGATATAGAAGAGCAAGATGTTAGGTTATTTTACTGATAGGCCTTGAGCCAAAATTTTTTTCTCCAAAATAAATTATAGGACTGTCATCATATACTAACTTGCTTTGTTTGGATTGTAAAAACAAGACTTTCATAGTCTGAGATGTCAACCATGCTGAGAGTTCAGCAGGCTCCTGGAAAAATGAACAGAATGACCTATGGCTTTCTCAAAACACAACACTTGGATTAGGAGCCTGGGGTCTGACCAGGGAAACAGTGCAGGTTTAAGGACTGGCCAGATTACTTCTGATAATATACAATAAAATCACCAATGCAAGGTGGTTGTGCAGAGGGGGCAGATGGGAGAGAAACGGCTTCCTTACCCTTGCTGCTACCAGAAACTGTCCTAGAATATTTAATCCAAGTGAAGAAGAGACATGGGTTTTATAGATTTCTTGAAAATGTGTAACTCTCAACCAACTTGAACATTTGGAAAGAGTTTGATAGGGCAGACAGCTACTCCATACAGTTGAGTCCTCAAGAAAAAACAAGAGCAATAAAGTGAAAATGAAGCGTTTTTCCTCAATTCTCTCACCAACACATTCATTCGTTGATCATTTATTGAGTATCTAGCATTGTGACAGTGAGAGTCCGATCAGGAAACTGAAACCACACCAACGATGTGAACAGAGAAGTTCTAATGGCAAGAATTATTAACTAATAAAAAGGGATTAACTACTGAGGTGTTAAGGGATCTCTATGCAATACTGGGATCGCAGATGTAGGGAGAGGCTCCTATCTCAAGGCGAAGGAAATTAATCACAGCAGGAAGAAACTTGACAGAGGGCCTTCTCTCAGGGATGAGATTCAGCTTCATAGGTGAAGAGGGTGGCTGTGGCCCAGGGACTGTGGTGGCTCAGGGAGCATTCCACTGGGGTGATAATGGAACCTTCTGGAAACAGTTTGCTGCAGAGCCAGGGTTGTGCAGGAGGCTGCCGGGTGGCCACCATGCCAGAGGAGCAAGGAGAAAAGCACAAGAACCCCAAAGACAAGCCCCTTCCCCCTAAGGTGTCCCTCCAGTGCCCTCTGCTGACAAACCCTAAGTTACATCAGCTGGTAAAGAAGAAGTGTTTACAGGGCCCAGCTGCCGTGTCACAAAAACAAGGCAAAGAATGCATTAGGAGCAGCCAGGCAATAGACTGACAAAAGAAAATGTAAAGAAGATGATGTAGCTGCTCCACTAGACATGGATGAATAAATGTGGTCCTTGCCCTTTAAAAGCTTATTGTAGGAGAGGATGGAGACAGTCCCTCAATGAAGGCATCAATATTTTTGACTTTACTCCCTTTAAAAAAAAAAATCACTATTTTCTAAGCCCCCTGGGCCTCTCTCCAAAGACCATCATGTACATTCAAGGTACTTTCTGTAAATGTTAAGTCTTCTATTTGCTATTTTATCTTATCCTTTTCAGTGAAATAATATGATGATTTGCTATTTTAAATGAACCCAAATCAGCGTAACACATATATAGAGAAAGAAGGTAGCTTTGGAGTCAGATGAGCAGTTGCAATCCTGGTTCCTCCTTGTACTGACTTGGTGACTTTGGGCAAATGATTCGGTCTAGCTGCCCTCCATGTCTTCCTCCATAAAACGAGGATCCAAACAGTATCAGCCTCACAGGCTTATTGAGAGGATCAAATGAGATGGAGGCATGCAAGTATTTTTAACACTATATCTGGTATACAAAAAGGAATAATAAAAGTTTGCAATTATCTTACAATAAACATAATTATACACATTATAATAAGATAGGGCTCACAATGATCTTTTAGAGTCTCCACTTCGATTCCTAGTGATTGTTTTCATGAACTTACATTTAGAGGGATCTTGCTTGATAGCAATTCATTGGAAGCAGATGTAAAAGTTTTGATTGACCCCCAAGCTTAGTTGGATATGATATCCCTTAATTGAAGGTGTACAGGGGCACCTGGGCAGCTCAGTCGGTTAAGCGTC